AGAAATTTTAAAGTTAAGATGAGGTTAATAGTATCACAAGGATTGAACCATAACTCCTTATATCATAACCAAAAATATCATACATATAACATTATTTAACTATTTTAAGATTCTGCCAATTTCTTTAGCACTTATATAGCCTTGTGTTGATCCTAGTTTCATGAATATTTACAAGAGTAAACCCTCTTAACTCTTGTTTAAGGCGACACTACTCCAATATTCATATAAGTGGAATTTGTAATTATGTCCCTATTACTACAGGCATTTGACATTTCCATTAAAAGCCTTTTACGCATCCACTTCTCGTAACAGTCGCACTGAATATTTTAGAATGAGACTATTTGAATATTCTAGAATGAGGTTATTTAATATAAAAAATTCAATGTATAATGACAACATATAATAACTTGTTATTACCCATTAAAAATAAGTAAGAGAGATAAAGTATTCAATTACATGTTGAGTTCAATCATAATCCTAAAAAAAATAAATTAGTTCATAGTATCTACTGCAAACATAATCCAAAGCAAATTAACCATCAATCCAAATCAAAGAAAGTGAAAGAAGAACTAAAGTAGAGAGGGAAACAAATATTTGTCAGATCTCATGTCTTCCATATTTTCCCTTGCTTTCCTTTTTTGTTGGTGGCTTTTTTTTCTCTAGAAAAGCTACTTAGAATGGCCCCTTAAATTGTTCTTAGAAGCCCCCTTTAAATAACCATTAAAACCCTAATTTTATAAAAAAAAATAAAAAAAGTAAATGCTGGGATAGCGGGTGGGTGCCTCAGCCTTACTTCTCGGGCATCGCAACCTCGATTCCATGGGCTACAATACGATGCTTTCTCTTCATGGGCGCGGCAGCCTTGACTCCTTAGGCATTATGGCCTTGTGCTTTTGGGTACAATATGATACTTTGTGCAAATTCTATTGTAGTCCATTCTTTTCCAATGTGATTTTCACCTCGATCTGATCGAGCTAGGTAAAATAGTAAACATAAAAGTTGGAGCCCTATCTTTTAGCTTTCTAATAGTTTAGAGAATGGGTACTAGATATACAAGATTTTCATGATGAAAAGGAGATAGTCAAAGTCTACATCTAAGCTAAGTTCAATGAATATAAGGTGTATTTGGAAAACTTACCTCTTCCTACTTTTTCCATTTTAGTCAAAATTGCACGGTAGACCATTAATACAGTCCTTAAGCAAAAAAAGCCAATCATTTCAAACAAAAATCCCGATTGTGAATGCAATCTAAAGAAGAGGTAGGGAAAGAAGAGATCATCAAGAAAACTTAAGGCAACTTTAAAAGAAGACAATATGAAAATATTATTGCATTACCCCAACTTTCAGTTTCACTTGACAAGGTAAGGGCACTCCTTTAAGAATAGATTAGAGATAGATAAATAAATTTACAGTACGTATCGCAACTGCCAACGATAAAAAAGAAGTCCAATATGTGGTATTGTGATTCTAAATAACTCATTCCCTACTCATTTAAATGCCCAAAGATATGTAATTGCAATTATCAATGTTCAAGAAGAGTCTACCTCTTCTTCTAATCAAGAAAATGACATATATGCGACTACTATAGTTACCTCTTCCATTTTTGGCTCACTCATCAAAGACACCTAGGTTCAAGCATTTCTTTGACTAACTTGGCTTTTTAAAGGAGTCAAGGAAGAAGGCAACCATAAGGTTAATATAGATACCCGACTCATAACATGAGGATTGTAGCTTGGTGGGTTGACTTATGAGAAAATGGCAAGTGGATATGAGAACACTAAAGTGTTCACAGAAACAGACATGTAGATAACACACTTCTATCACAACAAACCGCTCTTTGTGGAGAGCAATGTTAATGGATACCCATTTTACTTTGAAGGCTATGAAAATAGATTTTGAGTATTTGTGTCGTCTTATTACTATTACTCCCTTCAATAAAA